TCATTGGAAAAGATAATATATTATTTCATATAATTCTGCTACTATACTAAAGTCACACGAAGTAGTATTTATCTCCTTAGCTCTTCTAAAGCTGCCTAATTCAAATAACAATGTATATCTTGTGTGTGTTAAATATGAACATACTGGGTAGCAGGTTACTGAAAACTGAGGAAGATAGGCAAGACTCAAGAGCATTATGGACACTGTTAACAGTTTGCCTAGGAATAATACTCAGTAAATTTTTTTCATACCCTGAAATCAGACAAATTTAATATCAATAGACTTGAGCTCTGGATGAAATATGCCTAAAAATACCAAGGGTTTTTTTTTTTTTTTCCTACAGATCTTACTTCAGTGAGCCTTCGTGATATGCCCAAAGCATGAATAAGCAAACATTCTAGCAGCAAAGAATTTGACAGATATGGAACTTTTGAAATATACAAAATGTCCATCATTCAGGTTTCAGCTCAAATATTACTTTCTCAGAGGTCTTCCTTGAGGTCCCATCCAGAAAACTGCTCTATTATATAATTCTATTTTCCTAATATTTTCTGATGTATCTTGTTTACTCTTCTATTGACTTGTTTGTTTTCCAACTCTAAGTCTCTGTAAAAACAGGGATCTTGTATGTCTTGCTTACCACTATACTTCTAGCAGTTGCTTTTAGGTACAATCATCTGTTCAATGAATTTCTTAGAGTACATGACAAATGAAAATATACCAAATAGAAAAGTAATCTGTCTTCCATCTACACACACACACACACACACACACACACTCTCTCTCTCTCTCTCTCTCTTTCTCTCTCTTCCCCCACCCCTATCCCCCCTCCCTCCCTAGCCCCCTCTCTCCATCTCTTTCTCACCTGAACTATACAGAAGGTATTCTAATTTTTTTAAGGAAAATTATCCTAAGTTACAGTGGAATATTTTGTTACCTTAAATAATCTATATTGCAGAAAAAACATGAAAGGTTTTTCAAACTGAAAACCTTGGACAGAAAAAAACCCCAAAACTACCCATAAAAGAGTATTAATCCCACAACTTTTATCTCGGTTACAAATAATCAGATGAAACAATTTTGAACATGGTAATTTATTTTATGCAGTTGTTTAAATCCATTGTTTAAAAATTTTCAAAAGGCACTTTAAAAAACATTTAAAAATACATTTTTTCTGACTTAATGGTGATCACTTAAAATAAGCAAGTCACCAAACATTTTTAAACCATTCATAACACAATTACTTTTAAATAATTTTTAAATTCCAAAACACAAACATTCACTATATAGTACAACACACTGCTTAGCAGTAAGATTAGTTTCCCTCTAATATACTTCACGTAGATTATTAATTTGTAGGGCCCTGCAAAGTCATTCAAAACTAATATAAACTGAAACTAGAGAGGAAGGGGGTTGAAGTAGCACAATTCAATTCTACAACTACTTTCTAGAGTTGGTTCCTCTAAGAGAATTGGTAAACGTTCTTATTTTAATCTGTTAAATTTTTTATTTCAACTGATATATAAATGTGTCATTTTAAAATCAATAGATGTTACACTTAGCATAAAATATACCACAGTTTATCTCCCAGATTTAAGTATGTTTCTGTCAAACCTACTATAAAGAAGTAGAGAAATAGCGCAAATGAGTTTTATTTTTAAGAAGAGGGTGAGTAGGTAAGATTCAAGTAACTACCTCCTTTAATAAAGATGGAGGGTTAGTTTAAAATTGTAACTTTTTAAGTAGGGCAAGTATCCTGAGAGCCAGCAGGCATTATTTGATTTTAGACATTTAATCCTAGGGAAACCTAAAGTTAGTAGGTATAAAATTATCAGCAAGTCATACAAATTCTAATCACCTGTAACAGCCAAATTAACCTTATGAAGGCAGCATTAAGAGTAACTAAAAGTGGTACTTATAAAGGAAATAAAGAACTTCAATAAATACAAAGGAACAGAAATTAACAGAATAATAATCTAATGAACTGAAAATTTAAATGAAGAATAAAAGGCTAGACATGATCTGATCAATTAAATGAGGGGGTCTTTCAAGTACAACAGTGTCTCAGTCTGCTAATACAGCTTGATAGTAGGCTCAAGGAAGTGAAAAATAAACAATTATGAAAATAATCAGCAAGTTTAATGCTTAAGTCTAATTACCATATTCAAAAACATTAAAAACTGGTCAGCATTTTCTAATCTTATTACAGTGACAAAAACTCCTGAAAATTAAGGTATTTGAAAACAAATTCTGGAACAAAAACCCTGCCTCAAACCTATGAACTTCTCACATTTATAAGTATACTGTATTTAAAAAACATAAGACAGCAAAAGCCTTATGCTTTGAGACCACACTAAAATCATTTATCCAAATGACAAAGATCTTAAGCTAAAATGGTGAATCACCATGAAATCCTGTTTTATGTGCTTTATCAAGAACTTAGAATTATTTTGCTTCTTAGATCATATAGGATAGTCAAAATCTTGAAAGTGATGAAATTTAAGTTGTTGGTATGAATTAGCAGAAAAACGCTTTGCATTTTATTAAATAGCACTTTGCTACTTCTATTTAAAAAGTTTTAATAACAATTGTGGCTGGCTCAAACTTGCAATCCTCCTGCCTCAGCCTCCCCAGTTGCTGGGATTACAGGCATTCTCTGCCATGCCTGGCTAGTTGTGGATATTTCTTATGACACTAATGATGTATGTTTTAAATGAATTACTGTGTACTAATTAGCACTAATCCTTCCTGTCCAATGGGAAATTACTAAACTTGGGAGAATTGTAGATTTTACTGTAGGTCTCAATATTAGTCAATATGGAGAAGCTAAAGTGTATTGTCAAAATCAATGATCCACAGACTCTTTAAATTATCTTTAAAGTATTTTACCTTTAATACAGTGTGATCTTGGACTACACTCATTCAAAATATTCTGTGTCTAAACCTTTGAAAAAATTATTTATCCATGGAGTAGTAATCCTGAGTGTTTGAGACTATTTGCACCAGAATCATGTAGGTAGCTAGGCAGTGGTTCTCCTCCTAAGATCAGTAAGACTTGCCTACATGGTTTGTTTAAACAGAACTACTAGCCCCTGTCCTGGAATTTCTGATTTAGGAGGTCTAGGCTGGGGCCCAAGAGGGGCTGCATTTCCAACAAGTTCCCAAGTGATGCTGACTCTGCTTCTTGGAACTACACTTTGACAACCACCACTCTAGATTATCTGGTAAGAATGTAACTCCTACAGCCCGTGCTAAAAATCAGAGTTTCTGGGCTTAGGGTCTTGAGACCATTTAGACAAGCTCCCAGGCAAGAGCGTGAGATAAGAATCACTATGAGAATTTGGCTGGTCAATATGACTATTACTGGCCAATATATCAGAGGTCATACCATGTATGTGAAAATGGGAATAATACTAAATGACTAACTCCAAGGCTAATACAAGTGAGAGAGCACATAGAATGAGTAAAAATCCAACCTCTGTTACTTACTAGCTTTGTGACAGTGAAAAAGTTAATTTTCTGAACCTCAGTTTCTTCATCTGTAATATAGGAATAACACCCAATATGTGAGGATTAACTCATGTACACAGAGTAAAGCACAGTACCTGGCACACAGTAGGCACTAGATAAATACTAGCTATTACTTATTATAAGATATATACAAAATATTTCCCTCAGTATCTGATTTGATCCCTTCCCTCATTTAATATTTATACTCTTTAAGATTACAGAACAATAAAACCTTATACTTATTGCTCCCTATTCTGAGCCAGACAGTGTTCTAAGAGCCTTACATATATTAACTTATTTAATCCTCAAAAAAAAAATCCTGTGAGGTAGGTAGTATTATCATTCTTAATTCACAGATGAGGAAACTGAGGCACAGAGAAATAATTGTTCAAGATTACAAAAATAATGAAGTGATGGAACAAGGATTTAAAACCCAGGCAGTCTGACTGCAGAGCCCAGGATTCATTGCAGCATTCATTTCCTACAAGTGAATTTTAAGATTTTTGAATGTTCATGCTAAGCCATTTACATTTCTAGTAAAGAAAGCAGATAAGTCCATGTCCACACCATGGTAAATAGTTGTTCAAAGAACAGAATGAATGGCCTTGAAATTTTGCCAGATGGAATGAACCATCATGAAATCAACAAGAACAAATGTATTGGATTAAAAAAGGTGTTTGTTTTCACTATGTGGACATGGTACTCCATAAATAGCCACTGAAATGAACATCCTCTCAAATATACCACCCAGAGAAGTCATGGTTTTGACATGTTTTGGCACAATAAATATATTAGCCAAGCAACAGTCAATGAAGGGACAACCATGTAAATTTAGCATAATAAGAAATGTAAATCGTATGCAACATTAATAATAATCTTAACTGTTTTTTGATGGCAGTCTTGAATGGGTATTCTGCTTTGTTAGAATTATTCACTGGCAAGACAATTATCCCAAAGTAATAAGTCAGCATCAAACTTAGAATTAAGTATTTGGTCTTTTAATTATATGACATTTTAGTTTGTTTAAGCACTCTGTATTTTCTAATGTTTTAAATTAACTGGTCAAAACCTGCATTCAAAATATTTTGCCAGTGTATTAGCCACCTCAGACTAAAAATGAATTTTAAAATGGCTTTAAACAAGTTATGAAAGGCACAAACAAGTTCTCATCTTAATAGGATGAGAATGAAAGGAATAATATTCATGTAGTTGGAGTTTTAAATAATCGATTGAAAATGTCAGCAATACCTGAGAATGGCACTGATACAAGAAAAGCATGCCCAAATAGCTTTAATACCCATAATTAACAATGGGTAAACCTGAAAAATATTTTAAATGCATGTTAACAGAATGATATTAATGCTTTGTAAATAAACATTAATAGTGGAGAACAGTATTTGAGAGTGGTTAAACATATTTGGTGTGGAGGGAATAGGGACCAGGTAAAAGATTAATTAGAACCAAGTATATAATATAGTCAAGGCCCATGATAACTTTGAAAATGTAATTTTATTAATGCACTTTAGGATAAGTGCCATTCTTATTCTACCTTTTTGAATAAATATTGCTGATTATAAATTATCACAGCAGAATTTTCATTAGACAACTGTGTGGTGGGATTGTTTCATTTATATCACACAGCAAATGAGTATAAACAACACTGAGCAACAATATTTCCTTCTAAATTTTCTTTAAGGCAGATCTGTTTAGCATTGTGTATGTTACATGGTACAGTGCAGTTTTAGCAAATTTAACTGTTTCAGTTTTTCAGTGACAATATTATACACGGTCAGGAGCAGGCAACAAAATCTCTTCTAGTTCTTCTACCTTGCCACTGTCTTAAGAAAACACAAATTTTTCATATATATATGTATTTATATTTATATATTACTGTATCAAAACACATTTTAACAGACTTCACAGCTCATTTAAAGCTTAAGTTTATAGTCTTTCAGTTGAAAGATTTCTATATGGAATGTTCTCATAGAATGAATTTCTCAATGGGATTTCAGGGTTCTATGTCAGAAATGCAGAAGTTCTTCACTGCAATGCTGGACATTTTACCTCGGTTCATTCACATTTTTCTTTCAAGGGTTTCCTAATTTTACTTTTGTATCTTCATTTTTGTTTTCTTGATTTATTTCCTTTAATATATTCTCAGGTAAGGCAGGTTGATATCTATATAAATAACCATATGGACGAAGATGATAAACGAGGTATTCTAATTCATACATAGTTGTAGAATCAACATAGTGAAAAGAAATTGCCAGATCAGAACAGCAACCAGGACCCTAAAAGAGCAGCAGAAACAGGTATTGTTAATCAACAGCACATATGACATTATAACACTCTTAGAGGGTATACGCTAATTTAAAAGAATCCAAGCATTAAACTGGCAAGGTAAAACAGAAGCACCTAATTTTTAGACCTACAGGAAAAAACCAAAAGTACTTTGAGTTCCTAATGGTTTAATACCAAACATGAAATTACCAAAGTATTTCTAACTGATACAATATTCTTTCACACTCTTCAGTGTTTCAGCAGATAAAATTATTCAAACTTCCTCAAATGAAAAGCGCAGGTATACAAAGAATTAAGATTAGATTTGTTTTCAACTTTTGCTTTTACTTCATAATTTTCTTACTGTAGTTTTTCACTTGGCTGAGACTCAGATACCTCTGGAGCATTCAACAACTACAAAGCCTTGTCCATTTTGGTCTGCAACCTAATACTTTGTCAACCCAAATAGTATAGTATGTGAGAAGAACTTTCAAGTCAGACCTCGATTTGAATACAAATTTGAGTATACGTACTTGATCCTGGGCAACTTATGAAATCTCCAAAAGTTTCAATTTTCTTATCTGCAAAAGGTGTTTATTAAAAGGAGATCTTTTTATATAACCTTTTGTAACCTTTTCATAGAATCTTTTGAGGCCCTCAGGTAAGCTGGTCAAATTTAAACTTTATTCAATTACATAATTCTCATTAATTCTTAATAGGGTTGGTGAACAGGTTTAATTCCAGCACCAGTCTTTTTTTTATTTTATTTTAACACAATATTAATATCAATCTAGGATAGGAATTAGTATCTGAAGAATTAAAAAAAAAAAAAAAAAAGACACGATCTGATGTTTCTGTCAGGGCAGCAAATTCCTAGAGAAGGTTCATGCTGATCTATTCAATTGAACATTTAATCTATTTTGCTCATTATCCCAGATGTGGAACACCTATAAAAACTTAAACATAGTGTATAATATATATTACAATTACATAGTAATATTAATATACCTATATAAGCTCTAGACTATGATTTCCACTTATTTTAACTCTTAAAAAGGAAGACAGGATATAAGGATATATTATGGTTATAAAATAATCACAATTATGTTGTCCTTTTGCTATTATAACGTATGTACCAATTATCAGATATACTTAGTAATACTAATACACATTTTGGTGTATTAGATGCTTTGTAAAGTTTTTAAATTTTAGAATGTTTTTTAATGGGAAAGGGGGCAGAAATAAGGAAGGTCAAGTAATCTTGAAATGGTCAGAATATGTTAAGAGATCTGTTTTTCCAAAGAAAAATGGATTATCAAAAAGCATATCGGGATACCTACTTTACAATTGTTGTAGCTAGAATAAGCAATAAAATGCTAGCATAAAATTATAATAGTCTCTAATTACATAGAAATGAATCTTAAAAATTCATTTATTAACATAGAATTTTACCTCAACAATGGAATATTTATTTTAACATACCCACCCTGATCCACTTCTTTTGGTACACATCCTATTAATCACTGAGGAGCTCCTTAACAGTACAATGGGAAAGACTTTTTAAAAAAAATAATGGTGGTTTGCAACACTACCTAAACTATTACCCGGTTAGTCAAGTTACTTAACTTTCCTGAGCTTCAGTTTTGTCACCTATTAAATACAACAACATTTTAAGGATTAGATGCCACGTCTGTATAATACTAAGAAAACAAAGGTGGTTGACAGCAGCAGCAGTAGTGATTTACCTTAAAATTTCCTTTTAAAGCTAGTTATGTTAAGCTTGGGCCAGATGCTTTAGGCCAGAGTTTCTTAACCTTGGCAATGTGTTTTGTACCAGATAATTCTTTGTTGGGGGATGGGACTGTTCTGTACATTGTGAACAGTTAAAAATCTAATGGATTTCTACTTACTAGGTTGGAATAGCAACTTCCCTTCTAGTTTTAATATATATTTTTAATATATCTTTTTTTAGTTGTAGATAGACACAATACCTTTGTTTATTTTTATGTGGTGTTGAGGATCAAACCCAGTGCCTCACATGTGTGAGACAAGCGCTCTACCGCTAAGCCACTACTCCAGCCCAACCTCCTAGTTATAACAACCAAAAGTTTCCAGACCTTATCAAACACCCACTGAGTATCAAAATCGCTCCTGGTTGAAAGCCATTATTCTAGATAATGATTTGAAAGCACTGGCTTGTGAAGAAAAGAGTGGTATCATGAAGTGAATTGTTAGTACGTAGGGCCAGACAGAAGAAGGCATAGAGAACTAACAACAGAATCGAGTATAAAAGCTAGGTTTCATGATTCCTAGCACCTTCACTTGTTCAATGCAGCATATTTTACAACCGTGGAAAACTAGAATAACCAACATGAATATCCAATGGACAAATTGCTGTATGTTCATAGATTACTACACAGCAGTTTAAATTAATTAAGCTAATACATGTATCTCAATGTGTGAATTGTGAAATTGGTAAAAATGCAGATGGTATAATTCTATTTATTTAAAAAAATATTTAGGGATACATAAGTATGTATGAAAAACAAAAACATGCATGGTAATGAGTAATATCAAATTCATGATATTGTTTGATTCTGTAGAAAGTGGAATGGGAACTAAGGAGGATATTAAATAAGCCTCAACTGAAACACTTTTTTTCTTTGAAAAGATCTGAAGCAAATATGGCAAAAGATTATATTCATCATCTAACTTTAATAAATACTAGTTATTGTTATTCTGAAATGTTTGTAAATTTAAAATATTTTACAATTTAGATAAAATTCTCAGGAATGTAAGCTAAGGTACAAATGAAGAAACTGAGGTTCAGATTTTAGCCAAATTCTGTCCATTCAATGTCATTTAACTCTTAAATAGGAGAGCAGAATTTGAACCTCAGTCTTTCTGAACCTCAGTCTTTTCATAAGTTGTTTCTGAGGAATAGAAGGATCTTTAACCAGGGGCTGGGGTTGTGGCTCAATGGTAGAGCACTCACCTAGCATGTGTGAGGTACTGGGTTCGATCCTCAGCACCACATTAAAAAATAAACAAAATAAAGGTATAAACAAAATAAAGGTAGTAAAAAAAAAAAAAGTTCTTTAACCAGATCATCTCAATCTACTCTCTAGAATCACTCAGGTTTTTCTTCAAAAGTTATATTGGGCCAGTTGTGAGAGTGCATGCCTGTAATCCCAGTGACCTGAGAGGCTGAGGCAAGAAGACTGAGGTCAGCGTGGGTAACTTATCGAGACTGTCTCAAAATTTGAAGAAAAAAAAAGCGGGAGGGGGGGGGATGTAGTTTTTAGTGATAGATACCTCCTAGGTTCAATTCTCAGTACTAATAAAAAATTACCCCTTAGGATTTCCTTAATCATCATCCAACAAAGAGTATATCATCCACTACTATAGGTCATTCTTCACTTTCTTAACTGGCTTTTTTTTACCCCTATTACTTACCACTACCTAAAAACATATCTTTACTAGTCTCCCTGTTCATTATGTATCTCTTCATCTAAAATGTATTTATAGATATTTGTTGAATGACTGTGGCTGATGCCCGTTCTCATCTGCTTTGTTAAACTGCCATAGGAAGAGTTCTAGTTGTTGGTACTAAAAAAAATCTACACATATTAGCTAGTTTTTTTTTTAAGTTAACAAAAGTCCATCAGTCTCAAATATTTATAAATATCAAAATTTCTAAACTTACCTCTACAGGAGGATAGTAGTTATAATTCCAGTACCAAAAGGTTTTGGGTAGATAACCTTTGATTAAGTGGTGTTCTGGTACAAAGGGATGAAAAGTTTCTTTTCCAGTGGTATCTCTGGAATCTCCAGCTTCTACGTTTATGATTTCCATGCATTTTCCCAGGGCTAAGTCTTCAATGGAGGAACTATGTGTACATTTCTCTGTTTTAAATGCATCAACAAATCTCTTCAAGGCTTCTTTGCTTAGTACGTATCCTGCTCCCCCACTCATGTAACCCTGCTTTACATAGGGCTTAAATCTTCTCCCAAAGTAAATAGGTTCTTTAGGGTCATAATTTGAAAGCAGCCATCTCAAATTGTCTAGTATGACATATGTATCATCATCTGCTTTCAGAAACCAATCAGCATCTTCTAAATAATGGTCATGAACATACTGAAAAGCTTTAATTGTTTTCCAGTAGAGTTGATCTCTGCCTTCTTTGGTTTTTAATCCCACAGTAGGAAAGTCTTTATTTTCTTCTGAACTCATAAACAACACTTTATTACAACGTTGAGCCCATGTAGCTTTGACATGTTTGGCCTTTTTCTCTAGATTCTGAGGGCCTGTCATAACCCAACAAAGAATTTTAACTTTCTGAAAGAGGTTTTCAGCGATGTCTGTGTTCTCATCTATTAAACAAACATTTTTAAAAGTTACACTTAGACTGATGCAAAATCCAAATTATGATGAAGTAAAACATTTCTTAAACAATTTCAAAAAACTATCCATCCGTTAGTAATTTAGATGAAAGAAAACAACCTACTGTGAACTACATTCTGATTTATTGGTTTTATGTCAGTTTCATCCAAGGAGTTCACTAGACTCACTAGGACCTTAATTCTTACTACTCAAACTGTAATTCACTGACCAAAAGTATCAGCATCACCTGGGGGGTTTCTTAGAAATGCAGAGTTTCAGCCTTCACATCAAACATACTGAATCAGACTCTGAATTTTAACAAGTTCTGGTGATTCAGATGAACATTAAATACTACCTTAAATAGTCTCTGCTTGGTACTTTATACTATAAAGAGGACTTCAGCTCTTTTTTAGCACAACGTTCACAGGAATTTCACACTGCTCTGAATGAGCTTCTCAAGGGCAGAAAAAACATGCTGCTGAAGTTGAGAGTTCATTTTTGAAGGTCCACTGTTATCAACTGTCCACAGGAACCCTGAGGTGGCCCTAAAACATCTCACGATTACACCTGTTTAACTTAGCAAAGGAGTTAATGTATGGCTGTGTTTACTTCTGATGGTTCTATACATACCTCATTCAAAAATGCAAATCCGCCATTCAAAAACAAAACAGAACAAGGGGTACAGGATTTCCAAGATTGTCTAGAGCAGTGTGTATTCAAGACAAGCACTTTACCAACTGAGCTATATCCCCAGCCTTAGAGCAGTGTTTTTTAAACTACTACAAAGAAATAAGGTGCTTCTTTAATCAAGGAAGGCTTGCTACCATAAAGGAAGGAGGAAAAAGAAAAAAAGGTATCCAACTAAGTAGAAAGCTTAAGTACTTAAACGAATTTATATCTGGGTGCAAGCTTCTTATTTGGTTGTTAGACCAGCACCACATTATAAGAAGCACTGGTTTAGTCTTGAGGAAGAGCCCAATTATGATTCTAGACTAGCACTTCTCAAATGATTTGTGGTGAAGGACCAATTTTTATTTCTAATCATTACAGACTTTTAAAAAGAAAATTAAAAAATCATTAGAAAATGTGAACTAAAGAAATATAAAACATAAGCCCTAATTCTTTATTTTTAGATTCAGACAAAATACTTTGTCAGAATTATCATAAAAGTTTGTCTACTCCCAACTTCAACACTTATTTAGCTGCAGACCAGCATGAGTATACAAAATACACTTTTGAGTAGAAATGTTTTAGGGTGGTTATTCTAAAGAAGCATACTTTTAAAGTTAAGGTTAAACATTGTGTTATAAAACTTCAGTCCTGTGAAAAATTTACATTAAGGGTATAATTTGCTAGTTAACTGAGAGAACAGAAGAAATGTCTGGGTGGGGCATGAGCATGTATTCTCATGGTCCTCTGAAGATTAAGAATTCACAATCCAAAAGGATAAAAGCAGGAAAAAAAAATTCCACTATTTTTAGTAAGAAAGCATTCACTGCTCGCATACCCAAGAAACCCAATCTCTAAGCTATACAGACATCTCAAACACTGAATGGACACAGAAAATGGTATAGGTGGGAGTCACTGATCTGTCTTATTTAGGAAAAGACAGCTTTCTCCCCACTTTTAGACCTAGCAGATATTCTCATTCTTTTAATTATTCATTAAGTACTTTGTACCAGGCATGTACTAGCCTAGGAGATGAAGGTGAGTAAAACATACTTCCTGCCACATAAAAATTCAGTTTAACAGTGGAGATTGACATGTGAAGAAATAACTGCTACATACTAAGAGAATATATGTACAAAGGTTCCATGTGCTGAAGGAAAAGAAAGTAGTAGATGATAAATCCTATAGAGCAATGACATAAGGACTTGGGATAATATAGAAAATAGAACTTAAAATGAGTAGAACTCGTCAAAAGAAAGAACAAAAGATATGGGAAAGTTCAGCTAAGTGCAATTATGTGAATACAGCTAAAGGCTTGAATTAGGGAAAATGTACCATGGACTGAGGGGAAGAAATATCTAAAATTACATTAGAATTCAGTGACAAATGGAATTGATTGGTACATAAAGTAGGTACCATGAGTTCATAGTTTCTGTTTCAGGCAGATGGTAATATAGGAAAAACAAGTTTTAGGAGAGAAGAAAAAGAAAAGGAGTTAAATTTTTAGCATAACATGTAGTGTGTGGGCCATTGGGTGGAACAAAAGGTATCAAAAAAATGCACCTGCAGTGAGGCATAATATAACCTACAGGTAGCAGGGAAGTCTGACTCAAATTAATGATCTGAGACAGATATGCTACAGAACAAGTACATAGTGACCAAACTGGTCTATAATAAGAACACAGAGGGCTAGTCAGAGCTCAATCATTGTTATATAAGCATTCATGTAACATGACAATTTGTTCATTGTATGCATGGTTGATAAAACAACTGGGCTATCATACCTCCACCTTTGATACCTGCATGAAAGGAAGGGAAGAATTAATTTACTACTGGAAAGAAAGAAACAACTCAAAGTGTCTGGAAGTGGGCTGAAGGTAAACACTATAAGGAACAGGTGGAAATTAAAATCATGAAAGTTGACGATATTTCACATACAAAGGAAATACTGAAGATAGAAATGTGCAGAAAAACAACATTAAGTGGAACATGGAAGACTCAACTGAAAATATCTGGTTAAAGAGACCAAGAGAAAAATGAAGTCATTATAACACATCCTTTGTACTTTTACTTCCCTGTTTTTTTTCTCAAAAGGATAGAAGATCACTTATATAAACTTCAATTTTCAATTTGTATCAGTAGTTAATATGTAAATATTATTCTATATTTACATTAAACATATGTAACACTTCATACTTATATCTTATAATATTGTAAATATTTATATTATAACCTTGAGTTTTGCTAGAAAAACAAGACTCAGCATAAACCGAGAGCAAAACAAAAGAACAGCAAAACCCACATATACAGATGAACCATGATAACAAAATTGAGCCTAAAGAAAAACTTTCTAAAACTTGGTCCTTTTTCCAAATCATGGTTTCTGAACCATTTTTACTGAAAAATAAACTTAAAATAACTTATTTCCTAAATAAATATGGGCTTTAGCAATTCCTTCTCATTAGGCAAATAAAATTTTGTTTTAATACCTGGAATAATCCATAGTGATATAACAAAATTCATATAGATAAATTTCCCAACACTCAATGCTTAGACTAATATACTCCTTAATAACATAAACCATACCTTTATGTTGGCTAGAATCTGCATTGAAGTTCATTTGTCCTTGCAGATGATTCTGTCCATTATCATCAGAATGCCTAGCATGAGGATCATTATGAAGAATATTGGGCTGTGTGTCACCCTGTTCTCCCAACAAAATACTAAATAGCTGAGAGCATAAAAAAAAACCTATTACTGATCCACAGAGGAAAATTAAAAAATTCAACCAAGATTTAGAGGCCATTTCCCGAAAGTGTATTTCTGGAGGGGAAAAAAAAAAAAAAGGTGTTATAAAAGTATAAAGAATAAAAAGTCTGATGTTTACAGCAATCATGGAAAGTTAATTCCTTTCATACAGAAAAATACTCTAACAGTATTTAACTTATCTCTGACTTTACCACCTTATTTGCTGCTATAACAGCATATTATAGACAATTAAATAAAACACATGGGTAATAAGTTGAATAACCATTGTTGGCTTGGATGATTGTCAGTATTTGCACGCAGAATTTCCCATGCTTCCCACCAGGATCCTTCATGAACCCAAGACTGCTTGCCATGATCTTTTACTTCTTTAGTTGTCAATAACTCAATAGTACTTAAAATCTACCTTTCTTTTATAGCAATCACAAGCTACTCTATTCTCCAACTCAGGGGTTAACAAACTTTTTCTGTAAAGGACTAGAAATTAAACTTTAGGCTTCCAGGGTCACATATTGTCTAGAGCATCTCATTCTTTCTAAACAACTCTTTAAAAATGTAAAAGTAGCCAGGCATGGTGAATGCCTAGAGGCTGAGGCAGGAGGATCGCCAATTCAAAGCCAGTCTCAGCAACTCAGCAAGGCCCTAAGTAACTCAAAGAGACTCTGTCTCTAAATAAAATACAAAATAGGGCTAGGGATGTGGCTCAGTGGTCAAGTGCCCCTGAGTTCAACCCCTGCCCCCCATACCAAAATGTCAAAGTAATTTAGTCTGTGAAGGGGCTAGCCTCATATCTGCTTTTGTAAAGAAAGTTTTATGTGAACATATCCATACCCATTAATTTGTGTGCTGGTTCTGATAGCTGTAACTTGGAGTAAGAGTACAAAAGCAGAGTAGTTCTAAAAAGATAGTATGGCCCACAAAGCCTTACCTGACTCTTTATGAAAAAAGTTTGCTGGCTCCAGCTCTAATTAATACCCCAACTTCATGATATTGGAGTAACTACACCATGCTCTTACCATCTCTCTCTGCTATCCCACTGGACTGCAAGATCCTGGATCATATCTATCTATGACAAGATTAACTAGGATGCTTGGAACACAGTTGCTGCTCAAAAAATACCTAATGAACTCTCCCACAAAATATATGGCCCCTTTAAGCATTCATACATTATGAAATTATAAATTCCTCTAAATTGCTATTAGAATGGTCCTAGATGTATAGTTTCTAATTCTCCAAGATAATTTAAACAGTAAGTTTGCTAAGCATTTACCATATGCCAGGTACTGTCCATACATAATTTTGTTTTCATTCTCACTATGCCTATTTCACAGATGAGGTAACAGAATTTTTTAAAAGTTAAATAACTAATATATGTTGGCACAATCAAGAAGAGCCACAATTTAAACCCAGATCTGACTGCTTAAGAAAAGTCAGTGCTCTTTCCATTACATTTCTCAAAGTCTACACCCAGTCACCACTCACGCCAAAGGACAAAGGACATATACAATAAAGACCAAAGTTTGGGAGATAAGCCTCCCAATCAAAATTACCTTTAAATATGAAACCAAGATGTACAAACTAAGATTATCACTATAACGACAAATATCAAACAATTTCACATGGTTATATCTCAAGAATATATATTATTATATATAATATATATTTAATAATATTTCCAGAGTGGCTTTCAGACCAAACATCAAAGCACAATCAGAAAAATCTACTCAAAATATATAAGTTTGAAGACACTTAAGATATCAATGCAGTGAGAATTTGTGGTCCAAGATCTGTAAGAAAGGAGAAGTCAAGAGAGGTGAACCAGATATTTGGCACAGTTCTACTCCTCAAGACAATTATAACTGTCCCTCAGTATCTACAGACTTTGATTCCAGAACTCCCTAGAGACACACACACACAAAATCCACGGATGCTTAAGTTCCTTATTTAAAATGGCAAAGTATTTGCAAATAACCTATATAAATTCTGTCACATACTTTAACTCTAGATTATTTGTAATACCTAATACAATATAAGTGCTCTATAAACAACTGTTATACTGCAGAAATTGTTATTAGGGAATTTAGGGGAAAATGACAAGAAGAAAGCCTATATATGCTCAATACATATGCTATATTTTTCTCCTAAGAATTTTTAATACACAGGTGGTTGAATCCATGGATGTGGAACCTGTAGATTTGGAGGGTTGTCTGTACTGATTCTGAAAGAGAAAATAGTAGAGAGAAAATGAAGCTAAGAAAAATCAAAGCTCAAAGTCTGTCTTCTAGGAGGTCCTGGAAAACAATGCTTGATGTTATATATAATTTGATTTAATTTTAAAATGTTTTGTGATGCCATACTCTTACTCTTCTGCCCTCTCAGCATACGCTGGCTTCTCCTTGCTACTTTTACCTCACCCTCTTCCAATTTCAAGGACACCTGCCTTAATGACTAAGTATCTGTAAGCTACTTTTCTTTCCTGATCCTAGGATATCTCGGATAAGTAGAATGTACCCTCAAAGCCCACTCAGATTTCTAGCAAAATCATGTGTACCTCTTCAGATTTTTAACAAATCTGAAACAGTACTGCAGCAGAACAGACTAGAAGATGAGATTGCTTAACCATGCTGCAATTATGGGGGCTTCGAATTTCAACTGAATTGGGTGAAGAGAAGTTATTTATGCCAAATGCTTTCCAAATCTGATGCATCAGCAGAATCACTTGAACATTTTAAAAAATACAGATTTCTAGGCTTAGCATTTGAGATTTTAAATGCAAAAAAGTGCTAACACAACTAAAATTTGTTTTTAAAGAGAGCTCTGTTATTTATTGTAAAGAAAAAATTTCAATAAATAGAGAAATGCATGAAAGAAGAAATCACCCAAATCTTATCACCCAGAAAAAACTATTAGCATTTGGTGAATATCATTACAGATCTTTCCTTCTGTGAATAACAGGGTCATAGAAGAGGTAACTATAAATTTATGTGCTGTACTAAGAGCTTTACATGGATAAAGCAGGTAATATTATTCCCATTTTACAGATGCAACTCAGAGATTAGAAACATTCCACAGACACATTATGAGTCAAGAATTCCAAGTCTTAACCACATTTAAGTTATAATTTACAGAACTGGAAATAGTCATGTTATTTTAAGATTTAACATATAAATTAGAGCTATCTGAATATAGGAAGACACTGAAGTGAAAAGAACATTTAAAGTATGACCCTCTCTTCTCCGAATGATCCCTTTTAAGATTAGAAAAAGAAAATTATGAAAAACACAAAGCAGTTGGAGGCCCTTTATTTAATTACATATTTCCATTTTAGACAGTATCTCTTGGTTTCTTGATGTATGAAATGTGGAAATCAGTATGCACACACAGTTTTTGTGAATTATTTTTGTTTGGTAAAAATTTATTAACTGTAATTTCATGACTGCTTAATCTTGGACCCATTAAACTGGATTTCAGCTCACTAACAGTAATTATATTACAGCTCCTCTAAATTTTGAGTTTTTCATTAATGTTACATTTTTTGAGGGCTGGATTTCAGCAAGCAGTTCTTTTATCAGTGCTAACTGGTGCTACACTGAAATTCTTGCATGTCTGAGAATGTCTGCTATTATCTTCGTATGCAAAGCACAACTTGACCATGTACAAATATTATTCTCCTTAGAACTTTATAGATATTAGATATTATTCAATAGTCTTCTTACATAGGCACTAGAGAAGTTTGAGGACTGATTTTTTTTAACTCTTGTAGATACAGACATATCTTGTTTTACTGTTCTTTGATTTACTGTGCCTCAGAAATAGTTTTTTAACAGATGGAAGAGTTGTGACAATCCTCTATCAAGCAAGTATTTCTCCAAATAGCTCCTGCTCCCTTTATGTGTCTGCCAAAATTTGGTAATTTCCCCAACATTTCAAACTTACTGAATCTTTTATGCTGCTTTGTGACCTTTGTCTGTATTATTATTTGGAGGCATCATGAATTGCACCCAAGTAAGACTACTTAAGTTTTGTGTTCTAATTGCTCCACCAACTATCTATTCCCCATCTCTCTTCCTGTCTTGTGCCTCCCTACTCCCTTAAGACACAACAATATTGAAGTTCAAGTCAGTTCATAATCCTACAATGGCCTATAAATGTTCAAGTGAAAGACTGATTTATACATTTCTTATTTTAAATCAAAAGCTTGATCAAAGTCAAAGAAAACTTCTTGAAGGAAATTAAAAGTGCCATTCCAGTGTACACACAAATGATAAGAGAATGAAACAGTTTTACTGCTAATATGAAAAGTTTCAGTGGTCTGGAGGATAGATCCACTGGAATACTCCAACAGGCCAAAGCCTAAGCCAAAGTGAGGGTCTAACTCTCTTCACTTCTATGAAGGTTGAGAGGCAAGGAAGCTATAAAAGAAAAATATGAAGCTAGAAGTTGATTCATGAGGCTTAGCAAAAGAAAAGTGCAAAATGAAGCACAAAGTACTAATGTAGAAACCACTGTGAGTTACCCAAGATCTAGTGCAGATCATTAGATGAAGTTGACTGCACTAGATCTCCAAGTAGATGAAAGAGCCTTATGTTGGAAAAAGATACCAAAGAGGAAGCTCATAGCTAAAGAAAAGTCATAGCTAAAAGCTTTAAAAGACAGGTTCTCTTGTTAGGAGCAGCTAGTGACCTTAAGCTGAAGTCAATGCTTATTTATCATTTAGAAAAATCCTAAGGCCCTTAAGAATTACATTAAAACTACTCTGCCTTAGCTCTATAAATGGAACAACAAAGCCTGGATGAGAACACATCTATTTACAATAAGGCTTACTGAGTATTTTAAGGGCACTGCTGATATCTACTGCTAAAAAAAAAAAAAAAAAAAAGAAAAAAAAATTTTTTTCTTTCAAAATATTACTGCTCACTGATAATGCAGCCAGTCACTGTAAGAAGCCTGATGGTGGCCTCTTAATAATATTGTATCCATTATTAATGTTGTTTTCATGCCTAACACAACCACCATTCTGTAGCCCATGGAACAATGAGTTATTTCAAGTCTAATTA